GTTTTTTTTTTTTTTTTTTTTTTTAGAAGGAGCCTTGCTGTTCGGACCAGGGTCTGGAACTCGCGGCCACCATTGTAGCTCCATACATAGTAGCTCCGTGCTGACTCGGTGTTCAGTACTGGTAGCTGCCCAAGTCTGGGGGGAGGGGGGTCGCGCCCAGGGTGTGCGTGCGTGCATGTGTGTGTGCGCGCGCGCGCGCGCGTGTGTGTGTGTGTGTAATACTCGGCGAGCGCTCGGCTCTCTCGCCTACCACGCTGACGGGCACACGGTCCTAGTCCTGTGCACTGCACTGTGCTTGTGCGGCTGGGGTCTTCGTTGGTGTCGTAGCACTTTATAGCACTTTCCGTGCAAAGGCACTCATGTCTGAGCTTGTTGCCTTGCGGACCCGGGATTCGCAGGCGGCCACCCTTATGAAGGGACCACGGAGGGCTGGGGACAGGGCCGGAGGACGACTTTTTTAAAAACTCGCAAGACGTGTGTGTGAGTTCAGGCGCTCTCGTGCCAAGGCGAGGTCAGAGAACAACTTTGGGAAATAGGTTTTCTTTTCCCGCCTTGAGGATCCGGGGATGGAATTCAGGCCTTCGGGCGGGCTTGTCTGAGCCGCAGAGCCATCTCGCCAGCCCCTGATAGGCCACTGCCACGCTCAGATCTCTTGTGCGCCGAGGGTTACTAAACGTGGGAAAGGAATACCGGGACGCTGTAAAGGAAACCCGGAGTTCTTCCTAGGGTTTGCTGCTTTCTGATGCCACATAGAAGGCCCCGGTGGTGGTCACTTGTCATCTCCATCATCATTTAGATCATCCTGCAGACACCGTCAGGTGTCCAAAAGAATCTCGCTCAAACTCCTCTTACCAGATAACATTTCCACCCTGAAAGTTTTCCCAGGCACTCTCAAATCCCGGGAAACTGAACATAAGTTCTCATTTTTATTTATTTGTTTGTTTGTTTATATTGGTTTTTGAGACAGAGTTTCTCTGTGTAACAGTTCTGGCTGTCTCTGGAACTCACTTTGTAGACCATGCTGGCCCGAAACTCAAAGAAATCCGCCTGCCTCTGCCTCTGAATGCTGGGATTAAAGGCTTGA